TATATATATATATATATATATATATATGACAAAGCGCAAATGTTAAGTTGGTGGTCACTCAAGTTTGAACACATTCTAAAAGCACTTTTACTTCCACCTCCACATTTTTGTTAATGATATCATATTTTAAATCTTTTCATTTTGTGTATCCCTTGACCTATATTGGTAGATATAATTTTGCTCTTTTTATGTTTTAACCTCCATACTGGTTTTATAGGTGATTAATCTACTTTTACTATAGTTTTGCTTTTACCTGTGAAATTTTTTCCTTTCATAATTTTCTTCTACTTATGCCTTTTATTTCCACTTAAATAATTTTTTTTAAGATTTTATTTATTTATTTGTCAGAGAGAGAGAGAGACAGAAAGAGCAGAAGCAGGGGGAGCGGCAGGCAGAGGGAGAAGCAGGCTCCCTGCTGAGCAGGGAGCCCGATGTGGGACTCGATCCCAGGACCCTGGGATCATGACCTGAGCCGAAGGCAGACGCTTAACCGACTAAGCCACCCAGGCATCCCTCCACTTAAATAATTTAACATTTCTTCAAACCTTCAACATTTCTTGTAAGGCTGGTTTTGTGGTGATAAACTCTTTTAATTTTTGTTTGCTGGGAAACTATCTCTTTTTCATTCTGAATGATAACCTTATCAGGTATAATATTTTTCACTGTAGATTTTCTCCTTTCAGCACTCTGGCCTGCAGTTTCTGTTGAAAATTCAGCTGATAGCCTTACAGTGTTTCTCTTATATGTAACTGTTTTCTTTTCTCATAATGCCTTTAAGATTCTCTCCTTATCATTACATTTTGCCATTTTTAATTATTGTGTGTCTTGTGTACTTCCTTGGTTTCATCTTGTTAGGTAGGGGCTTTCTGTGATTCCTGGACCTGGATGTCTGTTGTCTTCCCCAGATTAGGAAATTTTTGAACCCCTTCCCTCTCTGGGATGCCTAAAATTCACATGTTATTACTCTTTTTTTTTATTAACATATAATGTATTATTTGTTTCAGGGGTACAGGTCTGTGATTTATCAATCTTACACACATTACTCTTGTTGGTGTTATTCTCAGGTTTTACTTTATGCTGTTCAGTTTGGATGCTTTCCATGACCTTGTCTTCCAGATTGCTAATCCATTCTTCTAGTATATTTTTCATCTCAGTTATTTTCTATTTCCTTTTTGAAATCCTCATTGAGTTCATCCATTCTTTTCTCAAATATGGTGAGAATCTTTATGACCATTACTTTGAACACTTTATTAGGCACATTGAATAATTATGTTTAGTTTAGCTCTTTTTCTGTTATTTTGTCTTATTCTTTCATTGGGGACATATTTTTCTGTCTCCTCATTTTGTCTAACTCTGTATTTGTTTTTCTCTATTAAGTAGGTCAACTCCATTTCCTGGTCTTGACAGTAGTGGCCTTGTATAGAAGAGGTCCTGTGGTCCCCTGTAGCATAGTCTCTTCTGGTCACTAGAGCCAGGTGCTCCAGGGTTGTGCCCTATGTGGACTGTGTGTACCCTTCTGTTGTGGCAGAGCTGTGACTGCTGTGAGCTCACTGTTGGGTGG